CATAGGCAAGTTGGGGTATCGCGACGGATTTCCGAACGAGGCGACCAAGCATGTATGCACTCTTCTCCCTTTAAGGACATCTCTTTACTGCTTTACTAGGCTGATTTGATTAGCCAGTTATGCTTTGGTTTTGTACTTAAGTAGTTAATGCGTTTAGCTGCTTATTTGTATTGTAATAACTAGTTAGTTAACTTGTTAGTTAATTAGCTTCGTTTTGTACTTAATTAATTAGCTTGTTAGTTAATTAGTTTTGTGATGTTATAATTAGTTTAATTAGCTTAGATTAGCTAGTTAGCTCATTATTCGGACCCTCCGTCGAGAGGGCATAACTGTTGTAATAAGCGTGCGTGTGTGTGATGCATGTTTTCCAACCCCCATTTCTTTCTCCCTTGTACTTATCCGCTTTCAGTGGTTAGTTTTAGGGCATATTTCAATTAGCATCCTTATGCTTGCATGCGTGCATCATCCATCTGTTTTGCATGCACCAGGCTCGGCGCATCATACAAACTGCATTGAATTTCAATACTTACTTATATACGTGTTCAACAACATGTTATCAAGTTGCATTTCATATGCCATCTTAGAATAGCTGAGTCTATTTTAGTTGCATTTTTGCATGTGTTACATTAGCCATCTTAACATAAACTAGGATCATGCATGATTTCTAACTAGTTCTCTGTTTTGGCTCGGAGTACACTGTGAGTGTTTACGCTTTAGCTTACTGCATGAGATGTGTACGTTGCCATGTTAGCATGCTTGCCATGAGGCTAACTGCCTAACTGATATAACTGCATGAATGCCTGTGGATGAAGGTTGGATTGCTTGAATTGGAACAATTCATCAAATGCGAGTTTTTAAGCCCACTTGAGAGTGGCAAAATCATGTTTTCTAAAGTCCACTTGAGGGTGGCAAAACCACAACTTAGCCTACTTGTGAGTAGCAAACTTCAAAATCATTTTCACAAACGAACACGCAATGTTTTGTTCCAACTTAGGCGATCTAGTCTATATTTGTATGCTGCGCGCATTACATAGTAATTCTAGGTTAATAACCGGAATAAAAACATATGCGTTTTCAAAAACAACATATCATGCTTAGTAAAGGTCGATCTTTTGATTGGGTGAGCGGAGGTGCTCATTGCATGACCTTCCCCTCTCATACCCAAGTTCCCGAGCCGAGGCAACTTTGGTGATGACGGACACGTGGCCTTAGGAACGAGTCAGGGTTTCCTAAATTTCCCAAAATAAAATATTTAGGTGGTGACTCTGTATCTGGCAAAACAGTCCATGTTTGGCACATCTTTATTAAAAATTAATTTTCTAAAATAATTTGCCGAATTTGGACTCTTTGGTGATTTATCAGGCTTGCATTGCACTTTACGAGATTAGATTTAGAACCGTGACACGAGTCTGAACTGTAGTAGCTAAGAACAAAATGATTCGCGCCTTCGCGCGCGGAGAGCGGAGTTCCGGGTGGTCTACAAAGCCCTTCGATCTCATTCGTCATAACTTCATTTTGCCTCATTTTTATGTCATTGGATTCACCTCATGGCCTAGTTTTCGTATCACCTCTCATACGTCTCGTTCTTCCTATTTTTTCATGCCGTTGGAGCTCCGAAAGTTGATTAAAAAAAATAACTTTTCTGTTCATTTTTGACTTTTTTTCAAGCCATCTTTCAAACTTCATATCTTTATCAATTCTTAATGGTTCTACTTCATTTTTTCGTTATTCTCTTCACCTCACTTCCTACTTCAGCCTACACTACCTCGCTTTCTCACATCTTCGTGTAATGGGCTGTTTCGGTATGCCGAAATTTGTCCAAAAACTAATTTTGAAAATTCCGAAACATTCATCTTTTGTTTATTTCTCCTCCATCTTTCTCATTGTTCTTCTTCTTCTTCTTCACTTTTAACATGATGTGGAGCATGGTTCTAGGTAGTAATGGACCACTCGAACCACCAACTTCATCAACTTCACCAACATCACCACTCGAACCACCAACTTCACCAACGTCACACTCGAACCTAATGCACCAAACATACCAAACGTGACTTTCAACGTACAATCCACTGAAGACTTGTCATCACAAAGATTTGTCACAAATGAGAAGCTAGTTTTTGTTGTGATTGTGTTTTATAAAATTGCTATTATTGAGTTAAAAGTGATGCTGTGATTAAAAGTGATTTATTGGTATTCTCTCTCTCATCTATATATAGTTTTTTTTTATTATAATTTTTTTTTCTAATTTTAAATGGTGATTGGCTTGTTCATATATTTATTGACAGTAGAGATAGTGATAAATTTTCAGTTAAAATTAGAAAAAATGTGACTTGTTCCATAGATTTAACCCACATGGGTGGCTCAGTGATCAATAGCATTGAATGTAGTGTTCTAATACTAGATAATTTCTTGTGGTCTCTTAGTCCAGTTTCATAAGGTGTAACACATTCGAACTTAATCACTCGTTGTATAAGATTTGGAGCATGTTCGGTACATCGAAAATTGGAATGGAATGCCAATGCCTATTTTAGTTTTGTATTATCTTCTCATAACCACCTGAACCACCAATTTCACCGCCACCGAACTCCATTACCGCCACCATGAGCATCACTATCACCACCACCTTTCAATACCAAACCTACCTCCTTCACAACCAAGTTCTATTACCACTGTTATCAAACTCCACGACCTCCATCACCACGAGCTCCACTGCCATCGCCGGACAGCCAACATTACCATCACAAGCTCCGGTACCACTAGAACCATACTTCACATCATGTTATAAGTGAAGAAGAAGAAGAAGAAGAAGAAGAATGAGTAAGATGGAGCCATAGATTTAACCCACATGGGTGGCTCAGTGATCAATAGCATTAAATGTAGTGTTCTAATACCAGATAATTTCTTGAGGTCTCTTAATCCAGTTTCATAAGGTGTAACACATTCGAACTTAATCACTCGTTGTATAAGATTTGGAGCATGTTCGGTACGTCGAAATTTGGAATGGAATGCCAATGCCTATTTTAGTTTTGTATTATCTTCTCATAACTACCTGAACCACCAATTTCACTGCTACCGAACTCCATTACCGCCACCATGAGCATCACTATCACCACCACCTTTCAATACCAAACCTACCTCCTTCACAACCAAGTTCTATTACCACTGTTATCAAACTCCACGACCTCCATCACCACGAGCTCCACTGCCATCGCCGGACAGCCAACATTACCATCACAAGCTCCGGTACCACTAGAACCATACTTCACATCATGTTATAAGTGAAGAAGAAGAAGAAGAAGAAGAAGAAGAAGAAGAAGAAGAATGGGGAAGATGGAGGAGAAAGAAAAAGATGAATTTTTGGAATTTTCGAAGTTAGTTTTCGGACAATTTTCGACATACCAAAACCGCTCATTACACGAAGAAGTGAGAAAGGGAGAGAGTGTAGGATGAAGTAGGAAGTGAGGTGAAGAGAATTGCGAAAGAATAAAGTAGAACCGTTAAGAATCGAGAAAGATATGAAGTTCGAAAAATGGATCGAAGAAAAGTCAAAAACGGAAAGAAAAGTTATTATTTTTTAATAAACTTTCAGAGCTTCGACGATATGTACAAAGAGAAAAAATGAGATATGTGAGAGGTGACACGAAAATTAGGCCTTGAGATGAATTCAACGACGTAAAAATGAGGCGAAATGGAGTTATGATGAAGGCGATAGAAAGACTTGACGTGATGGTTGGTGGTGGTGGTTTGATGGTAGGAGAGGGTGGGTTTGCATCTTTCTTCTAAAATTTGGGGGCAAAATATAATTTTTTTTAAACTTTTTCCGTTTCAAATGTGACAGCAGGGGAAAAATTTATACGATTTCAAAAATTTGGAGGTAAAATTGAAATTATTCGAAATCTAGGGGTGTAATTGAAAATCGAGGCAAGGTATAGAGGTAAAATTGATTTTTTTCTTAAAGAATAATTGGATCTGTCAAGTAGGGATAATTGCATAGTAGAATTCCTCTCATGAATTGAATCTATTATCATAAATCAAACAAAATCTCACTCCTTATAACTTTGAAAACAAAGATTGAACGACCCACTTTGGTACAAATTGAAAAATCTAAAAACCCTCGAGATAGTGATCTGTGATTGTGATTCAATTTAAAACAACGAATTGTAATCTCAATCAAACAATCAATAACAAATCGACACAACGATTTAATGTGGAAAAACTACAATTGGACTCCCGGGCCAAAACCACAAAATAATCTACTAAGGAGATAAAAAAGAATTACACAAGAGAACTCTCAATTACCTAGCGAATTCATGCCCGAATTGAACCGAACCCGATGTGCCTCTTCTACCACAAATAGGTCAATCGCTCGAGCGTAACATCTACAGCTCGAATAGTAAAACATGTTTCCTAGAAGTTCAAAATGCAGGCAGAGATTCTGGATGAACTATTTCACCGTTCGAGTGCAAGAAAGACCACTCGAGCGGTTAATCAACCTTGACTTCTTTCTTGGCTTCGGGGGCACTGCCCCTTGATCCTTGTACTTAGTCAGCAAAATAGTAAACAACGAATGCTTAAATCAAAATATGACATGTCAGCATAAACTCCACTGTATAGACACAACTTGGGTTGGATTCACATGTAAAGTCTCATAACTCATAGATACAATAGAGCGAATAAAAATACAAGTGAATAAAATTTTGTCTAATGAAATTGTTAGTTATAAAAACCTAACAGATTGGATAAATTAATATTCCTTAATAATGAAGGGATCTTTGTGTAATTAACATTTTGCATATGACTCAAGGAAATTCTACTCACTCTCTATCATATGTATTCTTAAGTTATGTAATTATTTTTAATTATAATTAATTTTCTTTTTTAATTATGATTTATAAAATCTTTAATTCTTTGATTAGAATTTTTTCTTTTTAATTATAAGTATATAAAATTATACCATTTTCTTGGTTATACCAGTACACCCCTTATAAACATGGAAATTTCAAACGGTTGTTATTTCTTTTTCTCTCTCCCACTGTGTCATGGTTGGCGGATCTCGCTCCTAAAGTTGCTCTGTGATCAAGCTTTCTATTGACCCACTCTTCATCTCTCTCTCTCTCTCACGAATCAATCCCCTCTTCCCACTATCTTCGCTTTTTCCGAACGTGCTTTATTGCTGGAGCGTCAACACCCTGCTCCTTCAATCCCACCTTTTCTTTGTCGCTTGCAGGTTCTTCCAACAGACTTTTACTCTTTCTGATAATCAATCAATCAGCTTTACTCGTGTTTTTCTCAATTGGGTTCCTTTGAATCTCGCATTTTATGTCAGTTCTCGAACTGGGTTGGTTTTCTTTGTTGCATATATTGTGTATATTTTCGTCAATATCGAATTTAATTTTCTAAATTGTGATTGGTTTGTTGGTAGATTTTGGAATTTCAAGTCTTTTTGTGAATACCAATGTGTATGTAGTAGAAAAGGTTTAGATCTTAATTTCTTGTGGAATCTTTTTAGCATTTGATTGTCTTGTGCAAAACCCAGATACCATCCTTTTGGGTTTTCAACAATTACTCACTGGTTCAAAGTTTCAAACAAGTTGTTAGTGAATGGTACTTTGATGATGGACTGTTCAAGTTTTTCACATTGACAGTTCGGTTATTGTAATCTGAGTAATCTGAATTTGATTGATCTTGTGTGAATTTTACATGGAGTTCTTACCTGTTGAAGTAATTGGGAACATATTGTCTCGTCTTGGAGCTGCCCGAGACGTGGTGATTGCTTCTGCAACGTGTAGGAAATGGCGAGAAGCTTCGCGCAAGCACCTTCAAACACTTTCATTCAGTTCCGATGATTGGCCTGTTTATCGCGATCTCAGTAGAAGTCGGCTTGAAATCTTGATTACACAGACTATATTTCAAACAACAGGATTACAAGGCCTATATATATTTATGGATGATGTTGATGAGTTCTCGGCTTCCACAGTTATTGCTTGGCTCATGTATACTAGGGAAACTTTACGCCAATTGATTTATAATGTCCGGACTACTCCAAATGTCAACATTCTTGACATATGTGGGCGGCAAAAACTCGAAATATTGGTTTTGGCTCATAATTCAATCACGGGGGTTGAACCCAATTACCAGAGATTCCCTTGCTTGAAATCCCTTTCTTTGAGTTATGTCAGTATCTCAGCGTTGGACCTGAATTTGTTGCTCGTTGCTTGTCCAAATATTGAGTATTTGGCACTTGTCAATCCTGAAATAGCAATGTCTGATGCTCAGGTTACCGTAGACCTGAATAGTCTAACCTTAAAGAGTATATATGTCGAAGCAATAAGTTTGGACAAGTTCATATTGGAGGCTGATAGTCTCGAGTCTTTGCATTTGAAAGATTGTGCCCTCGAACTTTTTGAACTTGTTGGAAAGGGGACTTTGAAGCATTTCAAGATTGATGATGTTAGTGTTATACAACTTGACATTGGTGAGGCAGTTGAAAATCTTGAGAATGTAGATGTCAGCAATTTTACCATTGTGTGGTCAAAGTTCTATCAGATGATATCCAAGTCGTCCAAATTGAGAAGGCTTCGGCTTTGGGATGTTGTTTTCGATGATGAGGATGAAATTGTTGATTTGGAGACAATTGCTCTTTGTTTCCCACAGTTAAGCCATCTCGCATTGAGTTATGACTTAAGAGATGGATTGCTTCACTATGGTTTGCAAGGCTCGTCTCATTTGGAGAATGTGATTGTATTGGAGCTTGGATGGACAGTAGTTAACGACCTCTTCACGCATTGGGTTTCGGGTCTGCTTAAACGATGCCCAAATCTTAAGAAATTAGTCATTCATGGGATTATTTCAGAGGCCAAAACACATGAAGAATGCCAAATGTTGGCCAACTTTACTTCATCCATTGTGCAGCTCATGAGGAAATATATGCATGTAGGTGTGCAATTTGAATATGAATAAAGATTCTGGAAAATGCCTGGGTGGAATTATGAAATTCAAAATTTTCTTTAGTGTCAATTGTGCAAGCACTTAGGCAGGTAATGTTTGCTGCATGTGGAGCCTGAGCTTTGTGTTTTGTTCTATATGGTATCTGCAATTTCTGTGTTTATATTGGTAATATCACATAAGAAAATGATTCATTTCAATTTTTTATTATTTGTTTGATTTCAAGCCTCTGGCTTTTATTTTCATTGTGGATTGAATGGTCTTACTGCTTGATTCCTACTTAGCTTTCTCTTTCTGTTTTAGTCACACTCATGTCCACACCCATATGCACAAACACATAATATTTTTTTTCTTATCTGTCATGCATCCTGTTTTCTGGGTCCACATGTGTTTTTGTCTGTTTTTTATTTATTTATTTTTTCTGGTGCTCTTGGTTGATGTTTCATTGGTGTTTGATGTCATCCTTAGTATTCTTGCTTTATGGGGCTGTGCATTCTTGTCTGCATTGATAATAGGTGGCTATGAACTAAAAACCTGTTGTTTACTTTCTCAACCTTTAATGAGAGTGTGTTAGCCACAATGATAAACCTAGTCAAGATGACACCTTTTAGTCACTGAAGAAATGACTTGTTGCATATTATTGTGTAATATGAAATTTTAGCACTGTTTTGATTTTATCATAATAGAGAAAAAATGAGTACTTGCTTAAGGTGCCATATTCTTTGATGAATAGCATTCTAGTTATTTGTTGCAATATATTGGGGTTGGGGCTATGTTCTATGATTGTTGTTTTTCGGTAAGACTTCCGAGCAATTCACTTGAAATGTTAACTCTATCTTTATAGTCATAATTTTACCATATAAATTGCAAATTCTAAGGTCTATTTGAGAAAGTCAAATGCCTAGTTTAGTGAAGCTAACAAGTAAGGCTACTGCTGTTCTAATTTGTGCTAAAAAAAACTGTTGAAAATAGAAGAGTAGGTGGTAGTAGGTGGTAGGTGGAGTAGGTGAAGTGGAGGTGGTAGTGGTGTAGTGGGTTAGGTTTAGTGGAGTAGGTAAGGTGGTAGTGGTGTAGTGGGTTAGGTTTAGTGGAGTAGGTTTAAGTGGGTGAAGTAGGTGATAGGTTTTAACAAAAACACGTTTGGTTTTTATGTATTTAGTTTTCTCCTCTTCCGAAGTACACTTGATCCATTAGAAGCTTAGCACTTACCTTCTCATCTTCATGAAGAGCTAAGCTACTAAGCTAGCAGGTGGGCATGCACTTGAAGATTGAATTAAAGGAACCTAGTGTTGACAATGAAGAAAATAGCAAAGGGTTTGATTGATTATCTCTATAAAAAAAGAAAAAATGAAAAAAAAGCATTGAAACCAAGGTTTCAAAATGCAAGGTTACGTAACAGTTGCAACCGTTACGTAACAGTTGCGACCGTTAGGTAATGGTTGCGGTGGTAGACACCACGCGTTACACCCGCTTTTGCGGTGTGACCGTTACGTAATGGTTGCGGTCATAGTGACCGTAACGGTAAAGCCCGTTACGCATCGTTACACTCTTTTTTTAACTGATTCTTTTCAAAAAATGAAAAAGAAAAAGTTGAAAAACTATGCATGCTCAACAGATGTTATACATACCTTTATTATGATTGAACAGATTTTGTCAAGGTTATGAAAAGTGGTTGTGGTCGCCGTAACGGTGGCAATGGCGCGGTGTAAAGGCTACAGTGTAACAGTTGCGATAACCGGAACTGTGAATTTTTTTTATTTTTTACACAATTTTCAGAAAACTTACCAATACGCATATATATATATATATATATATTTTTTTCAGAATCATATTTATTGGGTTTTAAAATAAACTTTGATAAATTTTTGATAATTTTTAAGTATGATCCAATATATTTTATATTTTTAAATCACTAGAAAATGAATTTTTTTTACATTTTATTTCAATAATTAATGACTTAATATGTCATAAATCCATATTACACATGTGGCAAAAATTTCTTTTATTGGACTTAGATATATTTGGTTCCAGTTAGAAAATTCTACTTTTTTATTTTTCGTATTTTAATGTTTTCAATAATTTTTTTTAATATTTTAAGCATTTTTTTTAAAATTTTTTTAGATACACTTAACATAAATACACTTAAAAAGTATAACATTTGTGAAAAAAGTCTTTAAAAAATACACTAAATATCAAAAAATACGAAAATTCAGTACATTTTCGTATTTTTGTGTATTTATTAATTTTTTAAAATATTTTTCACAAATATTTTAAAATTTTAGATACATGTACGTAAGATGCATCTGAAAGAGTAAAAAAATTACTTAAAGTTTTAAAAATATTCACCAAAAACAAAAAAAACACGAAAAACAAAAAACTCAGTTTTTAGAAAACTGAAACTAAACACATATTATACTTGTGGAAACATATGTACAGTTTAACTCAAATAGTTTAAAAAAAATATACATCCTTAATGGAAGAACTTGGCAAAGTACATAATATTATAGCAAAATTCACAAATAACAGAGTTTACATTTTACATAATGTTACTATTAAAATTACATAATGTCACCACTAAAATGAGTGACGTGGTACATCTTGGGATTCAGATTGTTCAGCATGATTGTTGCTGCTACCTTCACTCCACCAAAATGAGTGACGTGGTGCATCTTGGGATTCAGATTGTTGAGCTTGATTGCTGCTGCTACCTTCACCCCATCCAGTAGGAAATACATAAGTGAATGTGCTCATCATGTCATCTCTTTTTGTTTGGTACACTGGGGGAGAAAATGGATGGCAGAAAATGGATCAACATACTCTTTTTGGACTTGTAGATAATTTGGAACAAACCGTATCCTAGAGGACCATGTTGTTGAGGGGGCTAAGGGTAATTTTGTTGAGGTGTGTAAGGATAGCTCTGGCTATCACTGCTATAGGATGGGTAAGGGTGATATGGATAACTCTGACTACTATTTGATGAATCAAGTTGTTGTTCTCTACTTCTTATTCTTCTTTCATCCCTACGTGTATCACTACCATGAAACCTTCAAGGTAGTTGGGGTAAAAGTGTAACAAGTTCTCCAATATCATAATGTTCTCCAACGTCGCATAATCCAAATCTTCCAATAAAATCTTCACTTCCTGCACCAAAACTAGTTCCATCACCACCATCACCACCATTGTCACCGCCACCGCCATCGTTACCGTCACCATGAGAAGTGCCTCCACCGTCACCATCATCACCCCCTCCATCAGATGGTGTTAAACCACCACGATTATCACTTTGAGTTGGAGTAGGAGTTGAGCTTTGAGAAGTGTGTTGAGCTTGATATCTATGGGTGCCACCACCATCGTTTCCATCGCTGCCATCGCCACCACCACCACTATCATCATCATCTGAGACCAAATCTAGCCATTCAGAATTATCCACACCATCTAGTAAAGGATTTTCTCCTTTTTCTATCTATGCACTTATTGGATCATCTTCTTCAAATATGTAATCCAAGTTAATAGGATTAAAACTCCTATCAATCTCCTCTTGACTGGTTCTTTTAACGTGTCTCAATTTTAATCTCATGTTGTAGGTGATGAAGACTAATCTTTGGATTTTCTTATATTTCAATCTATTCCTTGTCTTCGTATGGATGAGACTAAAAAGTACTCCAATTACGTTCACAATGAAATGATGTGGGGGTTTGACTTAACACTTTCACAGCTATTTTTTGAAGTTCAAGAGTACAACTACCATGAATAATTCACCACTCAGCTGCACAAAATTACATTACATTCGACATAAGTCAAAATATGATAGAAAATTATTTAAGTATTCATATATTGTAAATTTGAAATTTTGAAAATAAAACCTAGATTTGATTGTTTCCATGCTCCTTGTACTAAAGGAGTGCCAAACGTTTCCTGTTTATCTCGAAACAGCAATAACTACAATTTGGACAATCATTATAGGTAACATTTGCAAAAGTAAATTATTACTATTAAAATTTAAATTATTGGTATGTACTTGATTTGTTGCTTTCACTTGAGCATGCATATTAGGCGCTAATCTGGTAATTACTTTTTCAATTCTATCCATCACTTCTCTTATTATTTCATTTGATGAGGTAACACCATATTAGAATTGAGGATTTAAAAAATATCATTCAAAAATAAAAAGACAAGTAAAAATTGTAAGTAAATATACATTTTATAAATGAAATCGTAACACTTACAAGCCGCCTGCAAATCTTGATGTAATTAAAAAGACATAGGGTATCAATAATTTTCCAATACTCGGTGTAGTAACGACAATCTCTTTTAATTGCCGACTTTGCTCTATTTATAACTTCATATATGAAACTCATTGTTGGCTTCTCATTCCCATCAACCAATCTCAATACTCTGACTAGCGGCTTATCAACTTTACAAAGTTCTATTGCTTTCTGCCAAAACTCTTTTCCTAAAATATTTTTTTTCACCTTGTAAGGATGCCCAGTCTTTGCCTTCCCCTATCTAGAATTCTTCCATTCATCACTATTAAACATAGCTCTCAATTGTTGTTTATATCTAACAATACTTTCAATGGCAATAAAATTTGTAGCAAATCGAGTGATGGCAGGTCAAATCAATTCTCTATCACCAGGGAATTTTGTCATTAAATCCAACACCCATCCACTATTATAAATGAAATTGGTGATGATTTTACTATTTTCAATCACCTGTGCTACACTTTTCTTATTGGCTATGTTTTTTTGTATGATATTGATACAATGTACCAAACAAGTTGTCCAATATAAATGTTTCATTTTTCTCATTAACATTTTGCCGTCAGCTTTCAGTGCAGGTTCATTATCAGTCACCACTTGAACAACGTATTGCTCTCTAATTTCATCAACAACTTTATCTAACAACCCAAAATAATATTCAACAGTCCTACTAATAATATTAGAGGCGTCAATTGATTTTTGAAATATAGTACCTCTATTGCAGTACACTAAGAAGTTGATGATGCGTTGTCAAGTTAGATTGCTCCAATCATCACACATGATGGATACACTTCTCTCTGCAAAAATTCGCCTGAATGATCCTATCCATTCTGTCATTTCATCATGCTCCATGCCCAAATATACTTCAGAAACTTCATAACCACTAGGACCCTTTACTCCTGACCCTACTTCAGCAACAACATCAAGCATGGGTTGTGTATACTCTGAATC